TCAGCCGATTTGGAGGATTATATAAAAACGCTCACAGGAAGTCTTGACGATGAGACTGCTAATTGGGGCACACCATATGAGAACTCGGCTAGGATAGGGAAAGAGGAAGCGGATGAAGTTAAAGAGTCTCCCAGGGTCCAGTCAAATGATGATGTATATTTTGAAGAGGAAGTCGATCATGATTTTGCATCACATCCAGTGGAAGAAAGGAATGATGATAGCGACAACGATTCTGAAGAAGAGATGTACTGGAGGGACGATTCAGATGATAAATATAATGAATATGATAGATATGATAAATATGGTAGACGCGATAGAGGCTATTATTATCGTGATAGAAGATATGAAAGGAAAGTCTCACCAATGATGAGTCCTATTATATCTCCGGTATCCGCCTAGGAGAATTATTGGGTAGATTGTAGACTGAATTATCATATAGGTTTATTTTTTTTTCAGTCAAATCGAGATCAGCAAATTAATAAACATTAGAGTTGCCATATTTATTCTATGTTTTGCAATGATCTTAGTATCTGGGAGTGACAGTTCCGCAGTATTACATTTACAAAATCGATCTAACTTCTAATCCATGATGTGACACAGTAAATTTTCCCAACTGTCAAAGCTATTCTGGCTTCCTATGATCCAAATACTTCACACTTTGGCTTGTTTTGAAGCTCTCAGTACCCTGCATCTGGTTGAATTGATTTGAAGTTTCGATAATAGCTGGAGCACGTTTCGTAAGTAGTTGAAGTTTCAATACTTATATAGTGCAAATAATACATTAGGGGACTCACTGGGTAGCTATGAATTCTTACATAAAAACCTATCAATTTCTCACCTCCTTTAGGTTCCCAGAATCAAAAACTAGTATTTTGTAGGTTCCCAGATCATCATCATTTCTCACACCACTTTGGCAATGTTACCTCCACAAGATTCATTCGTGATATGTCTAAAATAATTGACCTTACGATTTTCTGAATAACTATGCATCCAGTGATCGGAATTTCATAAAATTTGGTTTGGTAAATGTCCAGAACCTGCAGAATCCAGACGTTCAATCCTTATCAAAATTGGGTCATTGGTTGACGAGCTATTCGCGTTTCAAATTCATTATGGCAAATCGGCCTTTTATGACAATTCCCCTCCTTCGGTTTCGAACTATAGTGAGAAAAAGGGGAGGGTGTTAATATTTTTTGACTTTATTGATTGATTAGAGGCCTGCATGTTAATACAGCTTAATTTCAGAATCGGGATCAACAAATTAATAGATAGGATTACCATATTTATTCTGGGAAGAGAAGTTATAGTGTTAACATAAATAATGCGCAGTAATATTATGGTAATCGTTACATGTATCACGAGAACAAGCAACTGCGCATAATAATTTATTCTCAAACTTTCTCGCACATTCTCAAAAATATGTATAGCCCCTTAATGATCTTTACATATGAATAGCGTTAAAGCCGTTGATCAGATTTTCGTGATGTGATCATATTAACGTAATTTCCCCAAAAGCGTATAATAAAATCAATCCTAGGAATTATATAAAAAGGTGATGACCTGGTTATTGAATCCTTTTATCCGTCTTGTGCAAGTAAAACGAAAAAATCAAAACCAATCTAACATACCATTATTTGCATCATCGATATTTACAATCAAACGAATCCATATATTCCGTAAAGTAATAATAAAGTAAGTTGGTTTATTGCTCGGCTAGTTTCTCTAAACATGTCATCACGATGTTAATCGATTTTCCCGCCTCTATAGATGTTCCAAAATAAAACGGGCATATTATTCTTCTTGTTATATATCGGTATTTTGATCTTTGCTGAGAAAATCACAGACCATCATCACGCGTACAATGGACGCAGTGAAATTACTCACATGAATCTCGTCACATGCAACTTCACAGTAAAGGTCTGGCGCAATATATCAGGAATCATAAGCATCTTCACTTGCCGAATTCTGCGCAGTATCGTACGTGCAATAAAAAAATCAAAATACCTTTATTAAATGCATTAAGCAATAAATTTCAGGCAGAATGGAATGTTGCGAAAATTAATAGTAATGGTAAGTGTATATTACATTGCCTTATTTTTTATCTCAATTGCTAATTCCCGATTTATACTGTAGGTTCGAAATTACCTAATCTTGGTGAAGTTTTCTTACAGGGAATATTATTTATATTGTCTGTGTGGGTGGGGGTGATATAGATATGCGAAAATTTGTATGGGATAATTTGTTTCAGAAATCTAGTGTAGAAAAAGAGTATTGGTGTAAAAATCTCGTAGTTAGCAATAGTGATAGAAAAAACAATTAGTATAGAAATTTACAATAGAGCAAAGAAATAACTTGATGCTGGGACTCGCATTAAATGGCTTAGGATCCGCGTACTCCCTCCCTCTTTGATAGCATCATACATTTCGTTTGCTTTCATTAACATTTTTTCTAAACATTGGAATTATGATGTAATAATAAATATTATAAATATTCGCCAGAACTGTCTCCATATATGTTTAAAGTGTAAGATCTGCCGATAGCTATCAGCATGATCTTGTGTGACTGACGCAATAACGAAATTTTTTTGATCATCTGATCCACCCCTTTTTCCAGCTCACCCCAAATCCTATATCTTCCTCGTGCAACTTTCTAAAATTATAGCATCATGTCGGCATCAGTGGAAATGCAAATACAAGTAGTTATCGAAGAGTTCTTTAAACGCAGTAATGATTGGTCGCTATTTAATTTCCTTAAGTATAGAGAAGAAGCTGGCAATTTTACATATGAAAAAGATAAAGAACATATGATATATAAGAAGGCTTTGGAGTCGCTTTCCGAAAATGACGAAGTTCGAAAATGTATTCGAAATTTTGAGGTTAAGTATCGTTCATATAGCTCATAACTGGTTGAGATGAGTGGGTTCAAGGACTAGAATACGTTCCAGTCCCGAGACAATTATGTGACGTATTGACAAACCCTGAGTAGCCAGCTGAATACGTTTTGGCGGGTGAGAGTGGAGTACGTCTTCCCTTGAGCGTCCTTGAATAGGCTATGTGCTATTGCCATAACGCAACTGGATGGGTACGTCCTAACTGGTTGTCAGGCTATGTGCTGTGTTATGGTTCACACTCTCTATTTTTGGTTGATTATTAGTAATACGTTAGTTTCAAAAATAAGTTATCTAATTTATATTTCCATAAAGAATGAAAAAGTTTCTGAGAGTGTCCTCCATTTCTGGACAACGACTGAAAAAAAACGCTACAGAGATCGAATTAACATCGCAAGGGTAAGTGAAAAATTATAGTGGTTTTAGTATTAAGTTTCAACATGGTGGTCCTAATTATTAATATGACTCTTTTATAAGGCTAATGGTGTCTTGCGCATGCTCGAAGCCACAACCGCTAATCAACAGCACGTTTTTAGTATTCAGCAACAAGACCTCACTAATTTATACCAATCCCGCGATGATGATTTGGTAATTTACTGTGTGTTTAAACCTTGGCGAATTGATTTATTTATACCTATTTAGACAAATACATCTATGATGTCATTGTCAAATATTTTAAATTACCCAGGAAAGCGCAAGTTTGAGGAAGATAATCAGCCCAAGACACCACCTATGAGACCTCGTCAAGTAACTGTTATGACCCCAGAAAAGCCTTCCCTTTACAAACATACTATGCAACATTTGGCTAAACATTTTTCAGTTTATGTTAATGAACAATGTGTGATCATGAAAGTAGATCATGTTGATATAATTTTGAGACAAGTCCGTTCTTGGCTTGTAGATATATTATCAGTAAGTGGACATAAATCTTTTTAGGTCTTATGTCAAATATTATTAAAAAAATTTATTAACTACTAGTCAGAAAAAGATGTGTTCGAAAGCGCTATTACAGCCTCACTAAATCAAACTCCAGTCCATCTATTTCAGCAAGTCTGCAAAGCAATTTTATATGACTTGTGAGTATTATCACGGTCTCTATGTCCCTTTTAGCATAACTGGCTAATTCACCCTGTTTGAATAGTTTTTCCATGACTGATAAAGGCTCTTTGAATCGTTTTATCGGGAAAAGGAAGTATATTGTGGATAGGATAGTGCCTTTATTCAAGGCGATTCAATCAGTACATAGAGAGTATTCATTTGACTGGATCGAAATACAAGCGAGTTGCATCAGAGATATAAAAGAATTGTTTCCAGAATTCGATTTCACACTACATAAAGTTGATGGGATTGGTTCTAAGGTTTCAAGCAATAAAGAAATCATATTTATTGAAGTGTCTGGAGGACCGGAGAATGCTGTTATAAAACACGTCAAAGAGGATACTGAAAAATTCATCAAGGAGGCTATGTTTAGTTTGATCTCTTTACTTAGAGGCTACTTAGATAAAGGCGCGGAAAAAGCAAGAAATATATGCGTATATATGGTGCAATGTATAGGTAATATACTTACTTACTGTCCTATAATTATAATCCATATAAATCTTATTTTTGTTGTTCATGTTAGGCGATCGAATTACGCTAAGTGAAGTTTGTCTCGATAAGAAGCATTTTTATAAGATTTCGCAGATTAAGTCTGCTATGCTACCATTTTCTTTTGATGAAGTTGAAAAATTTATGGAAGTCTTCGAACTATTATATGCTTTAATAATGAGTATTTTCTATATGTATGTCATGGATATTGTAGGAACTTTAGTCTAACTTTTATGTTTTTATTCTCAGGATGGACTTAAAAAACAAACAAGAGAATTAAAAAAATTAATGCTTGCCGATCCTATTAGTAATGTACCCACAATTCGGGATTGGATCTGGGTCCCAAAAAATCTTTCAATGTGGGAAGCTACAGAAATTATATATGAAGATTTCAACTATGGAAGTTTAAACTATGAAGATTAATCTGTTTTATTCTATAAACCGCTTCGTGAACTACTGCGCCAAATTTTTTCTCAAGTGTGACCGCCCAGTTGCCGAAGGGTTTCCACTTTCTATGTTTTGTATACGTTATCTGAACTACAAATAAACCACATTATAGCACTTGTATATGTACATCGGAATAATAATAAAAAAAAAGTTTGATTTGAATTCTCCTTAATAAATGCATATTCAAATATCTAATGAGTTGTAAAAAGAATAAAAATAACAATCGTGCACAACCAATTTGTTTAAGCAAACCTATTGACCCAGCATCAACTATTTCAGAAAGTGAGAAGGGGAATACTATCTGTTATATTTGTGACAAACGTTTTATTTGTCCTTTTGAGAGAGAAGGGTGTACCAAACCAAAAGAACGCACAAGTGCCTTAGCCTCTTATTCTAATACATATACCATGTCTCATTTATTACCTACTAATGATGGGTGCTATCTGATACATGCATGCTCTGATTCGTGTGCTCGGCAGATTAATGAACAAAGCAATGCATATTATAGATCAAAAAATATTATATTTAAAAAAGCTGATGATCATTGCTGTTCATACGTTCCTGATAGAGCTATAGATGAGTTTAAAGCCTATAACAAAAATCTACGCCATCAAGCAGAGAAAAAAAGGAAATACAATGTTTTTTGATATGATGAACAATGCTACAGAAGAGACCTGTACAGATCATTTAGTAAAACATCTTTCGGCTAATAAGTAAAATTTTCAGAGTGCTGCTTTAGACTTTTTTTTTTCTGATTGGCCGATCATCTCGTGATTTATAGAAACTCTGGAACTCTCCTAGAACTGTCGTGGAACTGGCAGAGAACTAGGGTGATACATGTGATATGATATACGTCATGCCACAAACTGATCACTGTGCATATATAAAATTAGCATATGACCCTATATAAATCCTGATATGCTTGTAATCGAATAAAATGATTTTGGATT